GTCCTCCCTAGTCATTGTCCAACTCTCTGATAGTATTTCCTAATTCTGTTTTGATGACTGCTTCCTAATCCAAATATAGGTTTCCATTAGCATAATCATGTATTCTGGGATTCCCATTCTATCAAGGTTAGCCACAGTTTGTGTGGTCCCTTATGTTAGATATATAAAACTTTTATCAGGAATTGAGCTATGTCAGTCCACCCGATTTGAAGTCAGTGAGTTTGCTTCTAGAGTTATGGCATTAAGTCCCTGTGTGGATCAAACTTCTTGTAGTAGGGTAGAAAGAAAACTTACACTCTGAGGGTGAAAAAAAGTGGAAATGCCATAACAGACAATGGTCTCAAACTAAATGTTACATAGTATTACAGGGCCTCCATAGGAAAAATATTGATAGTCCAGTAACAGCCCAAATGTCCATCAGTAAACCAAATTAATTAATACATTCATGCAATGGGATACTAGGCAGCACTAAGACACTACAAATTAATAAGATATAATATTTGGAAGCAGGAGTGGCATCCACTTCCTAAACAACATGCCTCTGAAAACTGTGAACTTTGATAAATGATGATAGTTATAGAAAGGCTTCAGGTCTTTAGTTCATAGAGTTGCTGTAAGTCATACCTGACTCGACAACAATCAACAACAACAAAAACAACTATATAATATGGGAGATTGTGGAAAGCATTACGCTTAGTGAAAAAACTCAGTCACATAAGGATGAATACTTAATAAGACCGCTATTATAACAGTTTTAAATAAAGGGATAAAAACCAAACATTAAAAACAGCAACAAAATACTTAGAATTCTGACATACCAAACTGTAAGCTAATAAGTATTTATGGTTTGGATCTAAAAACAAACAAACAAACCAAATGGTTAATTGAGAAATATGTGTACTAATGTTCAAAAGGAGACAAGGAAATGGGGAAGGAAGTAGAAAATGATGAATGTGGCACTCACTAGGTTCGAAGAGGTTAGTGGACAGAAAGGAGGATGAGGGAATACGAAAGATTAATGTGGACTTGAAAAGGTGGGTAATAATATGCATGTTGTTACTATATGCTGTTGGGTCAACTGTGACTCATAACAACCTTATGCACAATAGCTCTGAACTCTGACCTATCCCGAGCCAATCTCACTGTCTCTGATCAATCTACCCAATGACTCCAGTTACTGTGTCAATCCATCTCATCCAGGGTCTTCCTGTTCTGCAGTATCCTTCCACCTTTCCAAGCATGATGTTCTTCTCCAACAACTTGTCCTTTTTGTCCACATGCCTAAAATATGTGATATAGGATGCATCCCTGGTGCATGCCTTTCCTGATTTGTAACATGCAGTGTCTCCTTGCTGTGTTCTGAGGACTGCTTCCTGGTCCAAGGATAAGTTTTGCATAAACACAATACAGTGTTCTAGAATTCCCATTCTTCTCAAGGCAATCCACAATTTATTGTGATCCACACAGTCAAATGCCTTTGCGTAGTTTATTGTGCCCCACACAGTCAAATAGCTTTGCATAGTCAATGAAGCACAGACATTCCTCTTGCACTTTCTGGTTTCAGCCAAGATCCATCTGACATTGGTGATAATGTCTCTAGTGCCATGGCTTCTTCTAAATCCAACTTCTATTTCTGGTAGTTCTCTGTTGAAGTACTTGTTCCAGTCACTTTTTTTTAATCCTCAGCAGGATTTTACCTTTTGCATGTGGTATTAGTGATATTGTTTGATACTTTTCACACTCTTCTGGGTCATCTTTTTTGGAATGTGAGTAGATACGGATCTCTTCCAGTCAGCAGACCAGGCAGTTGTCACCCAGATTTCTTGGCACAACCTGGTGAGTGCATCCAGGACTGCATCTGTTTGTTGAAATGTGTATTCCGTCAATTCCCGAGGCTTTATTTCTTGACAATTCCTTCAGAGCAGTTTAAACTTAGTCCTGTATCACCATTGATTCTTGATCACATATTATTTCATGAAATTCTTCTGTATCTGAAAATTATTTTTGGTACAGTGACTCTGTGTACTCTTCTTTTGATCCTTTTAATATTCTGTCCAGAGTATCCTTAAGTACTGCAAATTAAGGCTTGAATTTGCTCTTCAGTTCCTTCAGCTTAAGAAATGCTGAGCGAGTTCATCTTTGTTGATTTTTCACTCAAGCTCTTTGCACACTCAATTATAATATTTTGCTTGGTCTTCCTGAGTTTTCCTTTGAAATCTTCTGTCCAGTTACTTGACTTCCTGATTTCTTCCCATTGCCTTGGCTTCTCTTTACCTTTGTGCAATATTAAGAGTCTCTTCTGACATCCAGCTTGGACTTTTCTTCCTCTTCTGTCTTTTTAATGACCTTTTGCAGTCTTCATGTTCATATTCTTGACATCCTACCACAGCTTATAGGTGACTGGTAGCTTTATATGAATTATTGTATGAAACACAATGCAAATGAAAACTTTTCTAAAACAATGTCCATGAATAAAGCACGAAGTATATGAATTACTATTTGCAAACAAATTTTTAAAATGGTAGCTTATGTCAGAAAGTGTTTTCTATGATTCCTTCCACTAATTAAAGGAAAGACAAATATTTCAAAATAAAGAAATTATAAATCAAAGTAACATTCTTTTGTAACATTGATTCATTCTTGCTGTAGCATTGAGCATTTTTCTAGTTAAAAATATATGAGTTAAGGGTTTTAAATTCATTCTTGTTGTTGTTATGTGCCATCGAATCACCTGCAACTCATAGCTACCTTATGTACAGCAGCCCTAAACCCTGCTCTATCCCTTGTCAATCTTATTGTCTCTGACACACTTATCCCCATTACCCCAGTGACTGAATCAATCTATTTCATAGAAGGTCTTTCTCTCCTGCGCTATCCCTCCACCTTCCCAAGCATGACGTCCCTATCCAAGGATTGATCCCACCTTACAACATGTCCAAAGTATGTCAGACAAAGCTTCAGAATCCTTTCCTTCAAGGAGCAGCCTGGCTTCCTCCTTCTCAAGGACGAACTGGCTTGTCCATGGTATATTCAAAACTCTTCTCCAGCACCAAAGCTCAAAGGTATCAACCCTCTTTCAATCATCCCTAATTATTATTCAACTCTCTGATGCATAGCAAGTAATGTAAAAGACCATGGCCTGTATCATGTGTGCCTTAGACTCCCGACTGACATCAGTGCTCTACAGCACTTTGGGGAGATCTCTGACAGCGGACGTTCCCAATGCAATTCGTCTTTTAATTTCCTTGCTATTGATACCAAGATTGTGGGTTATAGAGCCCAAGTAAACTGAAGCTGTCTACAAACTCAATCTCTTCACCATCTATCATGATGCTTCCAATCAGCCCAGTGCTGAGAATCTTTTTTTTTCTTGATGTTGAGCTTCAATCCATATTGAAGACTACAGTTCTGACCTTCTGCAGCAAGCACTTCAGGTCCTCTTCAGTTTCAGCAAGTAGGGTTTTGTCATCTACATAACGCTGATTGTTGATCAGTCTACCTCCAATTCTGATGCCACACTTCTCCTTACAGAGCCCAGCCTCCTTGATTATCTGTTTTGCTTATAGATTGAAAAGATATGGAGATAGGACACATCCTTAATGCACACCCTTTCCAATTTTGAACCATGCAGTCTTTCCTTGCTCTGTTCTGACTACTGCCTCCTGGTCCAAGTATAGGTTTCCCATAAGCACAATTAAGTGTTTTCGGATTCCCATTCTTCTCAGAGTTAGCCATAGTTGTTTGTTTGTTTACACAGTAAAATGCCTTTACATAGTCAATGACACACTGGTAGTCATTCCTCTGGTATTCTTTCCTGTCAGCCAAGATCCATCTGACATTAGCTATAATATCCCTAGTGCCACGACCACTTCTAAACCCAGACTGGTCTTCTGGCAGTTCTCTGTTGATGTGCTGTTCCAGTCATTTTTGGATAATCTTCATCAGAATCTTACTTTCATGAGATATCAATGATACTGTTCAATAATTTCCACATTCTATTGGATCACCTTTCTTTGGAATGGGAACAAATATAGATCTCTTCCAGTCAATTGGTCAGGTGGTTGTCCTCCACATTTCTTGACACAACTTGTTGAATACATCCAAGGCAGTGTCTGTTTGTTGAAATATGTCAATCAGTATGCAATCAATTCCTGGAGTCTTGTTTTTTTGCCAATTCTTTCAGAGCAGCTTAAACTTCTTCTTTCATCACCACCAAATATTAATCTTATGATGATAAGTGTTGGTGAGAAATCAGAATGATGGAAGTTAATCTTACTTGTATAGAGTGGAATAGCCTTTAAAATCACTTGTCATTGTTTAGTTGTTAAATAGATTATAAGAACATTCTGTAGAACTACTCCTATATGTGACCTCAGAAAACTATCTGCCCTGAGTATTAAGAGTGATTTTTATGGGCTATTACTTTTTAAAAGCAAACATTTGGAACAATGATTATGACAGACTAAATAAATTATGTTATATTCTTTATAGTAATAATAATAATAATAAGCCATAGTTCAATAAAAACGAGTTCTGTCACTCAGCATCAACATAGACTAATCTTAGAAAATGATTACTGAGTGAAAAGAATACATTTTGTCTTAGTGCATATACTATAAATTTCAAAAGTATGTAGCAATAAGTATTTATCTGGAAGCTTTAAATACAAAGCTGTTCACATGGCATAGCTACTCATCATTTAGACAGGGGTAATTAAAAGTCTATGTCGATACCACATGCTGATGTCAAGGAGATGCACAGGTGCTCATCACAGAGCGTTGTTTTCTGAACAGTTTTGCTGCAGCTCAGAAATAATAAATTCACTATCCTTGCCTAAGCCTGTGTTTATATGGCTGTGCACTCATTCTTGAGATTTAGAACGATCAACTGAATGTTAGCCAAGAATTAAAGAAATAAAAGTGACACAGGCAGTTAGTGCTTTAGAGTTTGCTAAAGCTGGTTATATAAAAAGAAAATCAATATTTTCTATCTCTTTGCAGAGTAAGAGCGAGCAAATTACCGTGCGGCATCTGACATCAGGAAACTGGGAAGTGATAAAGATCTTGGCATACGATGAAAATACTAAAAAAATGTGAGCACTTTTTGTTTTTCAAGTCAGGCTGGAAGTCAGGGTTGCCAGATGACATTTTTTCTACCACAGCTATCTTTTGCTTTCCATGGTGATCGACAGAAGAAACTAGCATGTTAAGAGCAACCTTTCCCTTAAAGAAAAATGAGAGAGTGAGAGAAAGATTGTGTGGGTTCAGGGCAAAGTAAAGAATCTAGTTGTCCAAATGAATCAAAATTCAATTGTTGAATAAATAATGCAGGAACTTGTGCCTGATCTTTGATGGTTTTGAGAATTCAACTGAAAGCTCAAGTTGGCACAATTTGATGTGTGCCTGATATTTGTCTTCTTTCTTTCTGGCAGCTACTTTCTCAGCACAGAGTCTTCTCCCAGAGGGAGGCAGTTGTACAGGTAAGCAATTCAGGAGGCTTTTCCTCCTCAAGCTGGCGTCTCAATAACACTACACAGCAATGCAAATGGAGAAGAGTCCAATACTACATTTTCAATATTGATATAAAGGTCAACATTACATACCAACGCCACATACTCGTGGTTCAGTCAGCTGGCTCTGGATCTTCGTAATCCAAAGATCTACAAAATGAATCTCCATTCCCGCTGTGTTGTTTTTACCTCCTCTGCTTGAACAGTGTCAAAGTGGGTGTGTGTGTAGTAACTTCTTCTACTAAACTTCATTTTTAATTTTCAGTGCATTAATGTGGCACTCAAATTATTTTTTCTAAAATAATAACATAACACCATTGTGAACAGTTAATAGAGTGTATTAAGTGGAAGCTTTCTCTTTTTTCTTATATTTTGTAAAATCTACTGAGTTTATTGTGGGGAGAGTCATCCTCATTTAAGCCAAGAACCTTTGTTTCTTACTAAAACAAAACAGTATTTGTGGTTACTATTTATTATATCTGCATATTATATTTACAGTAAAGGTAGAAGGTCACAGCTATGTACTGTTAAATTAACTCCTCAGAGATCTTTCAGCAAGACCTCAAAGGATAACATTGAAATATATATATGGGCAGGAAACAATCTTTTGACTTTAGATTTTACATTTGCTTTCTGCTTTCTAATCTATGTTGTTGTTGTTGTTTACCATCCAGTCATAACTGACTCATAGTTGACACTCCAGCAGGTTTTTAGAAAAGTTAAATTGCCCAGGAGGAGATTGCCCATCTTTCTCTTATGGAGCAATGAGTTCCTGACCAATTCAAAATACATGCCTTTGTATTGGCTGTGCAATTGTGGCTTATTCTTAGTGGAAAAGCATATCTAAAATGTGTCACCATTGACTTACCAAGTGGATTAAGCTTTCCTTTCAGAGCAAAAGTGTATACTTCCTTAGAGTTTCTAAAGCCATTGCATTGAGTCAAGTCTGATTCATAGCAGCACTCCCTAGATGGCACCCAAGACTGTAATTCTTACAGTAAAAAAAAAACCCTCTTAATCTCCTAGCTTCCTGAGATTCTCTAACATGCTCTCATCTGTGCAAAATTTACTTGCATATTTTTATCATGTTTTTTTTTAACATGGTATCTTCATATCTTTTACTTTATAACTTAGATTTTTGTGGAATCCTTGTCTCCTCTTCTCATGACTCCTGTAGGCAGAAAAGCTGTGTTCAGAGAAACTGGTCTAATTTTGGACAGAAAATCTTAATCAAAGTACAACCCATTTTTCCTTTGTGGTGATTGAAAGCTTACCTTTCTTAAAATTTATGATAATGTTGGTTACCATGGACATTACCTTAGAGAAATAGAAGCCCTTTATTGATGTCTTAGTCCTTTAATTTCATAACACTCTTGAGGAAAAATGCAGGGTGAGATTATTCTTGGCCAAGAAAGCTATTGGAACTGACTCAGTCTCTCTTCTTATTATCCTAAGATGTAATTTGAATCATAATGACTTCTTAAATATAAGTTCTTGTCTTATATCCATAGTTATTGAGGCAAAACCCTAGACGATGCTACTATAGCAGGCATGCTCTGTTAAAAAAATGGAGTTCCAATAAATTTATCCTTAATAGTTTGTCAAATGACAGAATATACAATAATGTTGATGTTTGAACCAGAAAACTCAATCAATGTCTCTACCAGTCCAAAGCAATATCAACTGGCTGGTTTAATATATAACATCTGAATCAAAATGTGATTATATTCAGTGTTTGTTTGTTTTGGGTTTTTGGGTTTTTTTTGGCATATTCTGGTCTCATGTTTTTTGTTTCCTTATATTAACTATTAAAATAAAAAGGAAAAAATAAACAGCAGTCTCAGGAATTAGGATCTTAAATGTCATATGGAGAGGTAAAGGAGTAAAAGATATAAAAATCTTGGATCTGTCACTGTATGAAAACTCTGCATTATTACAGTGCATTCTTAGCCTCTTTAGAGTCATCCTGCATGTTTAGTAAGGGTTTGGCTATCTGCAGATTGAGAAGGGAGTGTGATAGGATGAAATTTCTCTCCATACCTATTCAATCTGTAAACTGGGAAAATGATGAAGAGTGTGGCATCAGTTTTAGAGGGAAACTCATCAATAACCTGTGTTATGCAGATGACACTACCTTGAAAGTGAAGAGGATTTGAAGCACTTGTTGCAGGAGATCAAGGAATGAAGCCTTCACTATGGATCTTGGATCTCAATGCCAAGAAAACAAAGATTCTTACCACTGGAGAAGCAAAATCATGATGGATGGAGAGATTGAAACTATCAACAGTTTCATCTTGCTTGGATTCACAATGAACAATTTTGGTTCCATCAATCAGGAAATAAGGAAATGCATTGCACTGGGACAGCTTCAAATTACTGAGAAGTAAAGATGTCAGTTTGAGAACTAAGGTGTGTCTGATTTAAGTCATGGTGTTTCTGATTAGATGCTGTACATCTGAGAGCTGGACAGTGAATAAGAATGACTGAAAAAGAATTGACATCTTTGAGCTTTAGTGTTGGAGAAGAGCAGTGAACATCTCATGGATGGCAAATAGAATCAACAGCTATGTCTTGGAGAGGGCGAAGCCAGAGAGTTCTTTGGAGGCAAGAATGAGGAGACTTCACTTCAAATACTTTAAGCATGTTGCTAGGAGGTGCTATTCATTGGAGAGGGACATGATGTTGGCAATGGAAGGGCCGGTGAAAGAGAGGAAGACCCTCAACCAGGTGGATTGACCAGGTGACTGTTGCAAAGGGCTCTAAAGTGTCAGAAAGTGTGGAGATGGCACAGGATAAGACAGAATTCAGGTCTTGTGTTCTTAGGGTCGTTTTGAGTAATACTTGATTGCACTTAACAACAACAACCTGTAGATTATCATGAGACTTAATCCGCTAATGAGTTGAACTGTCCAATGCATATTAATAGCCTTAACTAATTTAAAAAGCAATGGTGTCTCTCTGGAGACTAAGGGGTGTCTGATAGAGGCCATGGTCTTTGCAATCACTTGTTATGCATCAGCGAGTTGGACAATGACTAGGGAGGATAGAAGGAGAATTGATGCCTTTGCGCTGTGGTGCTGGAGAAGAGTATTGAGAATACCATGGACTGCTAGGAAAACAAACAGATTTGTCCTGGAAAGGGTTAAACCGGGTGGCTCCTTGAAGGCAAGGATTCTGAGCCTCCATCTAACATATTTTGGACATGTTGTGAGGAGAGACTGGTCCTTAGAGAGGGACATCATGCTTGGGAGGGTGGAGGGACGGCGCAGGAGAGGAAGGCCCTCTATGAGGTGGATTGATTCAGTGACTGGGATAATTGGGATGGGAGTGTCGTAGATAGTGCGATTGGCACAGGACAGAGCGGAGTTTAGGGCTGTTGTACATAGGGTTGCTATGAGTCGCAGGCGACTCGACGGCACATAACAACAACAACAACAAAACAACAATTTAAAAAATATAGCATTTTTAAAAATCACAATGATTCAAATATGGAATTGTGACTTTGTGACCTATACTTGACACTGAAAATCAGGTTCTTTTGATGTTTCTGGTGCCACATCCACACCCATGTTCATTATCTATGCACTGTGTTGAAAGAAGGGACTGTCTGAAAGGAATGTATGATTTTACGTATGATAATTAATAATTGACAGCACATAACAACAACAACAATTAACAATCTTAAATAACAAGTGTTTTACTAAGTAAATCGAGGAGCAGGAGGGAGGAAAATGTACATCAATAAGTGAATGAAAACTCAAACTTTCTGTAATGTTTGCTGTTGTTATGTGCCGTCAAGTCGCTTGCAACTCATAGTGACCATATGTACAACAGCCCGCGACTCTCTTCTGTCCTTTGCCAATCACACTGTCTCTGATACACCCATCCTTATTACACCAGTCACTGAATCAATCCACCTCATAGAGGGTCTTCCCCTCCTGCACTGTCCCTTAAACCTCCCAAGCATGATGTCCTTCTCCAAGGACCGGTCCCTCCTTACAACATGTCCAGATTATGTCAGACGAAGCCTCAGAATCTTTGCCTCCAAGGAGCTTGGCTTAACCCTCTCCAGGATGAATCTGTTTGTTTTCCTAGCAGTCCATGGTACACTCAATACTCTTCTCCCACACCACAACTCAAAGGCATATCCTTCTATCCTTCCTAACCATTGTTCCACTCTCTGACAAATAACAAATGACTGCAAAGACCATGGCCTATATCAGATGTACCTTATTTTCCAGAGAGATATTATTTCTCTTCAGTACTTTGGATAGGTCCCTAACAGCAGACTTTCCCATCGCAATACATCTTTTAATTTCCTGGCTACTGGTGCCAAGAGTGTTGACTGTGGAGCCAA